AGTTTAGGGCTCTAAAAATTGAAAAAGGACCTGAGTTTCGGCCCATTAAATTTGAGAAATGTTTTTGATCCATTAATCAATTGTGGGTCTTATATAATTATGGTCTTACTAACGGCTTATTGCTTTAAGTGGAAGGAGTTTGGTTTTCTTTAAATAAAATCTAGATTTTGAATCTTGTGAATGGAAAAATAGGCACTAAGAGAGCTTTTCTTAATTGAGTCTGACGTGACTCGATTCTGAATTAATCAGAATCTAATATGATTACTTAACACCGAAAGATTAATTCAAAAAAATTAACAACTCATAAAATTTTTAACAACAAAAATGTGATGGATATAATATCGGAAATTTGTGTTACAATCCATCTTATGATGAATAATAGCATCAGGACATTTAACAGGAGGAGGGGAGAACTCAATATCAAGAACCCTTCCGTTATGATTATGATGTTACACTCTGTCACAAGTCAAACTATAACATAGTTTTTCCTTATAATACTAACATTATACATATATTTATTTAATATTATGTTATATTAATGTAATATCTCATTATAATTGTAAATTTCTAATTTTATAACATTATAATTATAATATTATCCTTAATTTTTTTGGGTCATTAATAAAGTTTTCTTACATTAACGACTTATTGGTCCAAATAGAAGAAACTTATTCTTCTTAAGTAAGATTTGAATTCAGATTTTGTGAATGGAGAAATAAACCATGAAAAAACTTCTCCCTTATGTAATTAATGTAATTTAATTTTAAATTAATTGAGATTAATATGATTTTGACTTTTGAATATTGCGAGGTTAGTAAAAGAAAATAATAAAGATTTCTTCCAGTTTATCCTGCATATGAAACCATCAGTTCAGAGGGACAAAGAAAAAGAAAAAGACAAATACTTGTTTACACCCAATTAATTTTAGAGGCAACAATAACCTTAATGAATCGATTAATTTATTAATATATATTGATGATTTTTGTTATTCCACACCCCAATCTCATATTTTTGTGAGCAACGCAAACTATAAAACATCAATCTCAATTTGGAAATGGGGGCAATTGTACAACTAGGAGAGTGGATCAGTGGAGTCGCTTAAGAAAATGCTCCAGCATATGTGGATGTGGTACAAACATGGAGACAGCTACTATACAATTACCAACATGAGGATTCAGCAAACCTTAGTAAGTTGACACACAAATTTTTGCGAATATACATATTTTCTATAAGAGACAGAGCAGAAACAGCATTAATTCACAACTCGAGTAATGTATATCCTAATTCCCACATAGTTTGGTGTAAGTAACAGGGCAGCAGCGAAAATATTCACAAGAAACACATCGAATTGTTGCTTTACCAGAGTGTAAGGGCATACAATAGTTAGTAGTAGATAAAAACAGGTTCTTACTCAGGATTGATGCACCGGATGCCTTAAGCTGCCTTGGCAAAGCCAACTCTGAGATTTCCATAGTCGAAGACTGTGTGGTAGGGACCCATGAAGACATCTCCCAGAATCCTGCATCATAGACATTGTAGTAAGAGCAAATGAACTTATGGTACATTTTTATACACACAGGAAAAGGAAAAAGAAAACGAAGCATAAATTACCAGAGTGGTCCATGAGGAGGAGGAATATCAATAGCGGTGAAGCCACTGATGCACTGAGCTTGAGGACCCTCACCCACCTTAAGAATGTACTGATTAAACCAACCAGGAAATTTACATCAGTACAACTGAGTTAATAGTGGTGGAAGGACTATCAAGAATGTATGCTTTCAAGCTTGACAGCGGAAAAAGTAAGGATGGCATTATACCTCTTTTGGTGAAAGGTCAAAAACTTTGCCCCCTATAGTGAAGGAGACGGTAGGCATGGATGAAAGACTTCCACAGTCAACAGTTGATTCTCCCATTGGGCTTGGCATTTTATCACAAAGCTGCCCAAGTAGCATATAGTGGTGTCAGCATTAACTGCAACAACAGATAAACACCATCTTGCATTCTAGAATATTAACAAATCATTCGATAAATATCAATCTCTATTTTACCTCATTGACATAATTCAATATATTCTCTTGAGTCTGATTCTGACTTAGTTGGTTTTCCATCCAAACAACAGCCATCTCACAAGCAGAGCACATGGCATCATGGAAAATGCCAGATGATTTGCCTTTCTTCTCATCCACTACACTTTCAATGCCCATGCTACATACAACAATACACGCAATAGTTTTAGTTTACCACTATAAAACCCTAAAGAACAATTTCAGCCACAATTGTGACATTATATTCCAACATTTTAAGAAGAATTAAAGCAAATGCAAGAGCATAATTTCAGAGCCGGACCTAACACCATGTGTTCCATCAAAAGTGCACAATCCAATTTGGGAGCAGGCTTTCTTGGGTTGTTCCTATTAGAACAATAGGAATTAATCAATCAATTCAGAATTGTATTCGACTAGAATAGATTTAGAAAAAATGCTCCCATTGATTATCTATTGTAAAGGATGAATATGCATCTTGAGCATATTAACCTGGAAGTTTGAAAGAAGAAATAAAACTAGCATTTACCTCAGCTAAAAGAAAATTAATAATGGTCTGCCCATATTGTTGAACAATGGCCTTGCACTCTTGGCTAACAACTCCTTTAGCTCCAATTGCATTGTTTATCATGGCAATAATAGTCTGCATGACAAAAGGCGATAAATGCATGGATAACTATTTTAATAGATAATCCAGCAATGGACTACTGTTGAAGTGGACTTTATTTAGAAAAATGAGAGATGCATCTAAGAAATTATTAATTCCTCATGTTCCCAGGTATGCAGTATAAGCCTGTTAATGGGATGCAGCAGAAAATTAAATACATGGACATTGGAGTATTGAATTTTGAAAACATTATTTATGCTCATCTAATCAGCTATCTGGATCCAAAGATTAGAGAAGTAGAATCCAGAACACTACTACAACTCAACAAGAAGCCTATATCTTTGTCACACCAAAAGCAATCATAAGGCATTTTCCTATTATCCTTCAACATTACTAAAACAATCCAGCCAAAATGACAAGAAATCAACTTGAAACGTGCACATAAGAAACTTATCAACTGTTCAAAACTGCCAATTGGGCTTACCTTTGGACCTGCCAGCAAGGAAGTCCCAGAATCTGCAATTGCTGCACAACCTCCAGAACAGTACCCTGAATAGCAAGTTAGCAACATGCACAAGTCATAAGTAGAAAGTAACTTGCAGCATAATTTTAACATCTTTGCCACAAAAATATCTTCTTCTCTAATTTGAGAGCTAAATTCTTCTCTTTACATATCTTTTTAAAGGACTCTAGGTAGGCATTATAAGGGAACTTACCAGTTGGTTTGTCACCAATAAGGACATCACCCATATCAAACTATTAAAAGAAAATCAAATTAAGATAATGAATAAGCGATTGAAAAATAAATATCAAACATCCAGAAATCTACCTAATAGAAATCTAACAATATTTTTGGGTTGAGGGGAATGGAGAGGAGAAGAGGGAAGGAGAGTAGAGGGGAGGGAAAAAAAATTCCTTTATTTGGTTATCGAAAAAATTGGAGGGGAGGAGAGGGGAGGGGAAGAAAGTCTTTTGCTTTATTTTTTCTTTTAATTTATTTACTTATCCAAATGAGGGGAGGGGAATGGAAGGATACAATTCTCCTCCCCACCATTCCTCTCAACCCAAACATACAGTAAAAGCAAACCTCCCAATAGCCTTTCTGGGTCACAGGTACAAATGTATGCTGGCCCTTGTAGTGTCTTGGATCAACCCCACCAAACACGATTTCACCACCTTCCTCTTCCTCTGTATTGCGGTTAAGCCAAAATGAAAACACTGGTTCCTTGATAATACCTTGTTTAATCATACTGTACCTGTAAGACACACAAACCCTCTTGTCAAGTATAGAAAATTGCTAAACCTCAAGGAAAATAGTCCTTCAGAATTGCTGATCCCCACACATACCATACTGGGACAGCCTTTCCAACTGAGAGCTCTTGAAACCCGAGTCCTAATATTCCATCAAATTTTGCAGCCAAAAATGTAAGACCTGGCTCCTTAGTTGCCTCAATAAATTCCTGATAAAGAATTAAGGGGCGGGAGGGAAATGCATAAGAACAAAATCAAAAACTACAATGATTGTTTAGTAAAAATTGCTATAATTAAACCGGATCATTGGCACACAAAACAGAAGAGAATTAGCTCTCTGGCTCACCTGATCCTTAACAACCAAGCCACCAACTGCAACATTGTCATAGCTAAAGAAACCCGATATAGCTCCAGTACCATATTGGATAGATGCAGGTTTTCCTACAAAATAGATTACACCATATAACTTTCATGCTATGCTTAAATGATTAATTCCAGGATAACATAGATCTGACCAAAAAATTACCACACACTTCACAACATAATTTTGATCATACCATACAGGAAAAACTATTTTAACGGATAGATAGTACAATAATACTATTATTAAAAAAGAACACCTTGAAAGGTCACCAAATTCATCATCAGATCAACAAGCTTAAACCTTCACATGCTAAAAGTAAAAATGAAAGGTAAGAAGAGAAGACAAACCATTCTTCTTGTAGGTGCTTGACTTGCCTGCCTTGTATTTAGAATGAAAGAAACATGCAACCTGAAACTCAAGGCAGAACCATTAACATCTTTGTCTTCAATTTCTTCTTCCTCCTTATTTTTCATTTCATGGTATAACACCAATAACTCAGACATGCATGATAAATACGGGCCAAGAGACTCACCGAGAAATAGCACTTTGAAGATGGCACCCACAGGTTAGAACTACCGGTATCAAAAATCACAGTGAACTTTTGTGGGGGAGTTCCAATTGCAATATCACCATAGTACTGAGCATCCATGTAATTCTCCAGTGCTACAATATCCGCATGCTGAGAATCCCCCAGATACCCATATTTCCTCATGGAAGCCCTCAGATACTCCCTGTCCTGGGACTCAAGCCGAGCAGCAAGACGACTATTTCGATCAAATTTCAACTTTTTTAATCCAATTCTTATCAACTTATCATCGGACGCAAAAGACACAACAGAAAACAGCAGAGACGAAAGGATCAGAGACAACAGCAGAGATTTGAAGGCAGTCCCCATGTTAAACCTATGAATTAAAACATGGTACCATGATTTAGAATCTGAACAGCATAATAAACCATAATAAAAATAAAATGCAGCCCATAATTTGAAATTTTAGAACTAATTTCTTAGCTTATTGAATCTAACACAATACTCAGTAACTCAGCTCAGTCGAACTAACTCGTCATTTTCTCAGGAAACAAACAGAAAATGGATTAAAAAAATACAAAAAAAGGGGAAAAATAACACTCGTCGTTTACAGAAAGATTAACAGATTGAACGTTAATTTTCTTGAAAAATGAAGAATGGAATCTAATTGGATACGACATTATCCAAACAATCCGATCGAAAACGAAAGATTCGAAGAAAAAAGAGCCAAAAAGAAAGGAAAAGATGGAATCAAGTAGAACTCACAGAATCTACTCGCAGAAGCAGAAGACGAGAAAAAAAAAAAAAAAAAGTTGGCGAAGAAAGAAGAGAAGGAGAGTATTTATGGGATGTTGCTGTTAAGGTAAGCTCGGCGGGGCCCAGTAAAGCAAATGATAAAAATAAAAAATAAAAAATAAAATAATGGGTACCGTTTGTTTCGTTTAGATCTCATCTCAGCCGTCGATGTTTTCCGAGACGAGGCGATTAACCGTTCGATGGCGTGGGAATTTTGAAAAAGAATGCATATAATTTTTTATTATGAGTTGTCGTGGGCCGTTGATTCTGGATGGACGGTGATTATCCACCTGACGCAAGGTAAATGTGATGGGATGAGGAATAGAGGAACAAGTTTCGTGCTTAGTGGAGAAGGGAAAACTGACATGTACTGGTGACCCTTGACCTTAAATTATCAATCTAACCCCTAGAGAAATTTTATTAACAAATAAGCCTTTATATTTTACAAAACATCCACAAGTAGGTCCAAGTTAATAGAAAGAATAACGTATGGCCAAAAAAAATAGAAAGAATAACGCGAAGCATATGAACATAGATGATGTGTGAGTTGTGTGATTACATACTAGTTGTGCTCTAACAAATTAAACAAAATACTTAAATTTTGACAATAAAAAAAAAAAACCCAAAATACTTAAGTTGTAAACTTCTTTTAGTTGGAAGTGCTAATTTTAATGGTATATTTTTCAAAAGAATTTTCAATTTAAATTCTAAGGAATATAGATCAATTAGCACATTACAAATTTAATTATAAATCAATTAATTTTTTTTATGTAAACTAAAATATAATATTTTTTAATTTAGAAAATAGAATACAAGTATATAGTATATAAATTACACACAGTTCAAAGATATCAACTTAAACTGA